GTCATGACGCAGGCCGCGTTCCTCAAGCAAATCGGCGCCAACAGCAACTCGTACCAGCGCTACATGAAGCTCAAGGGCCCTTACGGCGGGTGCGACAACTCGACGTACTCTGGCTCGCTGCACTTCTTTTACCAACGCGAGAAGAAGGAGAAGAAGGCCAAAGAAGCTGAGAAGGCGGCCAAGAAGGCCGCACCCAAGCGCAAGAAGGCGACGGGCGACGACAGTGAAGACGAGGCACCGCTGGTCGCTTCGAAAAAGGCCAAAACGACCAAGCTCACGGGCGCGGACCGTCTTGCCCAGATCGAAGCTGTCGAGCTGCCGGAGAACCTTGGCGTCTACGACGACTGCGATGTGGTGCGCGACTACTTGCAGCAGTTTATCATCGCCAAGGAGTGCACGCAAGTGGCACTCGCAGCGCATTTGAACTTCTCGGTCGCCTCGTTGCGCAAGTACTTGGCGATGCGCGGAAAGCGCGAAGGCAGCGGCAGCATCGTGTACAAGGCCGCGTATTTCTTCTTTGAGAAGCTGCGCCTCCTCGAGAACAAGCCCAAGTCGAACAAGCGACTGAAGATTGAGAAGACGATGCCCCAAGGATATTCGCTCGAGCGCGATAGCAAGTACGGCTGGGTCTATTGTCCGTAACTCGATTCAATTAACATCTTGCATGGCGTGTATGAACCAAACCAAATTCCCACATACCGACATACTCTAGTATGCCAAGTCTTTGTAACGAGAATAACGCTAAACACGTTCATATACACCGAAACATTGCTTCGCTACGTGTGCTCGTGTGCTACTGGCGTATGATGGCCATGGTTTCCACATTGCCGGAGAATACGATCGCCATCGTATGTGCAGGTGTATTTTTAGCCAATCACAGGCACAATTCCCATTAATGGCCAATCACAGGCAGCACGCACTTTCCCGAGCTCAAAACAGCGCTAAGCCCAACCAATCGCATCTGTTTGTTAACCGGCTGAGCAACCGAACGATTTGCAATCGCCATGGCGAGCGAGACGCCGACAACGATGGAGCCGGCTCCGCGCGAGCGCCCAACGCTCGAGTACCTGCGCGGCAAGCGAGATGACCCGAACGACGAAGAGTACAAGGCCATACTCCGAGCCAAGTGGTCGTGCCACGTCATTCGCTCCAAAATTCGCATCTTGCTCGCCCGGCGGATTTTGTCCGAGGCCAACCTCATCACGCGCATGGGTACGACCCGCCGCGCGTACGACGACTTCATGGCGCTCACTGAACCGACGGATGGCGCCGACAACCCGACGTACGCCGGTGGCTTGCACTACTTCTATCAGGCCGACAAGGTGGATGCGGAGATGCGCGAGCTCCGCGCGATGGCGTCCGAGTCGACAGCAGCGCAGCGCAGAGCCCGCTTGGCCAAGAAGGCCGCCGAGGCCGAGGACGACGAGCCGCTCGCGCCAAAGAAGAAGAAAGCCAAGAAGGACCCGAAGAAGGACGCGGCGCCCAAGGTGCACAAGAGCTCGGACCGCCTCAACGAGATCGAAGCGGTCGAGTTGCCGGAAGAGCTCATGGTCTTTGACGACTGCGACGAAGTCCGTGACCACATGCGGCGCTTCTTCGAGGCAAAGGAGTGCACTCAGAGCGCGATGGCCGTGCACTTCAAGTTCTCGGTCGGCTCGATCCGCAAATTCCTCGCGATGCGTGGACCGCGCCAGGGCAGTGGCAGCATCGTGTACAAGGCCGCGTACTACTTTTTCGAGAAGCTGCGCATCCTCGAGGAGAAGCCCAAGACGGCAAAGCGCATCATGATGGAAGAAGCCATGCCACAAGGGTACGACCTCGTGCGCGACCCGACGTATACGCTCGTCATGCGGAGTGAATTGCACGACGACGACGATGATGACTATTAACTTGCAGAGCTGCTT